GGATTGTGTGATATGCGTTGCGATATCAATTGAAAACAAGTTGTAATTCAATACTGTATTCTGAATATTGAATTTAGATTTTCTCTTTTCTTGGTTTCTTATGTACTGAGAGATAGATCATTGTTAAGTACTCTGATCTCTCGCTTAATCTCAGTGTCAACACTTACGTATGACCTTGAGAATACCATAAAATAATGATTGAGCACCAGAGGTTAGATTTACATACGTATAATAAATACTGCTACTGCAGTAGCGGTATGACACACCCCCCACGGTGAAAGAAATAAATTATACAACATCAGTAGGATAATTTATTTAAAGAGTTCAATTTACTCAGTTCAAAGAAAAGTTGTTTTTTTTTTTTTTGGTAATTGACGATTTTAGATTATGTATTTTTCAGTTTTCCTCCAGCTCGATTTCCCAACTCGGGTTCCAATCGACTCCCTCATCCAAGGTAGCATATCCGAATTTTCGCATAAATAGATGTCTTTCGAGTCGTCGCACTTTCGATTCTAATGGTCTGTCGTCCCGATCTTTAAAATCTCTCAGTTGGTTTCTGTATTGTCTAAGTGCCTCCTTTAGAAGACCTCTACCTGTAAGGTTTTCAGATATTTCTTTGATTGAATGTTTTATCGGATCTCCGAATCGTTTGGGTTCTTTGTTTTTTGTTTGTCTCGAACTTCGTCTAATACCTGACTCTTCTGCACTTGATTCGTCCGAGAATCCTTGTGGTGGTTCGAAGTTTGTGTCCAGTTCCGAGCTTTGTTGAGGATTTTCTCGAAGTTCATCCGCAACTCGCTGCACTCCTCTTTTTAACAATTGGTCCGCGTACTTCTCCCATTCAGACGGTGCCAAATTTCGATTGTGAAATGTGTCCACGATATCTTCAAGAGGAGTGTGAGAGTCAATGCCTTTCAGTTTCGGACGCTGTTTTGCTTTCGGCGTAGAACTTGACTGAATTTTGGTATCTACTGTGTCTGATTCCGGCTTAGATGTTGCTTTCTCTTGCTCCGAGTTTGCTGCAGTCGCAGCTTGATTTGTCCCCTGTTGTTTCTTGTTTCGGCCTTTCTTTTCCTTTCCGCTCTTTTCCGGCTTGTTTGTGATATTTTCCTCTGTATTTGGTTTTGGTCCCGCCTTTTGCTCTTTTGACTGCAAGATTCAGGCCTCCCCCGGCTTCTGTGTCCTTTGAAGTGACTATTGTTTGGCTCCTCTGAAAGCGCTCTATTGGATTCATTGTATCAGCGATTTCCATTTCTCCTTGAAGTTCGTCCTCTGATCCCAGCTCCTCTAGTCGTTCTGGAGAGCTGACTCGCTTAAACTTTTTGGTAGGTTCTGACGATGGACTTTTACTCGTGCTTCGCTGGTTTTCTTGCGACAGTACCGTTTTTGATTGAGCTATATCCGATTTCCTATAGATCGAACAGGCTGATGTCCTAATTGTTGAGTCCGTTTCTGAAACGATTTTCCCCTTTAGTGGTCTGGTTAAGGCTTGTCCGCTTTTCCGTAGAGGGTCCTTTCGAAGTATAGTCTTGGTTGGTGACTTGCATTGGTTTTCTATTTTGTCCTCCACAAATCCCTTCTCCCAAGAGTAGATCATTTCCTTTCGGAGATCGGGATTGAGTTGCCCTGTCTCGTCCACTAATTTCCGGATGTCATTTTTAGCCGCGTCCCTTCTTTCGTAGTTCCAGCGGGCGTTCGCTTCCAACAATTCCTTCAGGGCTTTGGCTCTTTCTTTGTCTCTGTCCGATGCTATCTGCTGCTTGTGCAGTGGGCTTGTATCCCTGCTCAGTTGTCCCTTGCGCACTATCTTTAGATTCTCTCTCGACTGATCAATTCTTCGTTTCATTTGAGAAGCAGTCAGTGCTGAGCGTTCCAAGTGTTGTTTGTCTAAAGAATCAGAATTATTTAAAAATTTATCCCTCACAATTTTAAATTCTGTTTTTGGTAGTCTGCCGAAATGTGCTTGGAACGGAGATACTTGAATTGTTTTCTGCTTGTTCCACCGTAAGTCTCTCATTATAATGCTGAGGCATAATTTGATTGATTTATTATTTTCATCGAGCATCATCACTCCCAGTCTTCTTTTTATTGTTTGAATTGTACGTTCAACCAAACCACAACCTCTGTGATCCCCCACCGGACAGAATTTTTGCTCGATATTGAGTTCCGAACAGAATTTTTTTAAAGTTTTTCCCTTAAATCCTGAAAATTGGTCCGATCGAATTGATTCAGGGACTCCATGTGTGTCGACATATGATCTCAAGAATTTTACTGTGCTCTTTCCACTTGTGGATTTTGTAACCTTCACTGATGGAAATTTTGAGAATCGATCAATAGCTACTAAAAGATAGATTTTTTTTCCTTTTTGATTTTCTATAGGCCCCGCGTAGTCTAGTTGTACCTCCTGTCCCGGCTGCGTGAGCAGTGGCAATGGTTTTGACGAATTTTTCGAAATAAGGTATTTTACATTCTTACCATATGGTGGTACAACTACGACACTCCTCTGCCAAATTCACGATGTCTTTATTCATATATTGCGTAGCCCAACATAGCCTCCTGACCTGGGTGTCCTCGATGGATTCGTTTCAGGACAGCTTGTCGTAGTTGAACTGGTACTGCTAGCCGATTATTCGCCAAGATGCAGTCGTCCTGAACTGCCATCTGTGACCACAACGGATTTGTATAGGGTCCCATCAATTCGAATCCTTGTTTATCCCCTCTCTCTACCACTCTCCTGAGGCGGTCCATCCACGTGTCATCTGTGGTCAGTTCTGCTAGTAAGTTTTTGTCGAACAGTTTTGCGAGGTTGTCCAGGGTCTCCACTTGTTGCTGCTTTTGCAGTCCTGTTTTTCCTAGTCCCTTTGGCGGTTGAATTGAGCACACTTCCTCCTCACTCTCCGCCTCTTCTGTGGTTGTCAGGTCTACTTCTATTACATTTACCTCACTGAGTTTTCGTTCCGTCGATGCGCTCGGTTTTGGCGATGTTGAACTTGATTCGTGTTCCAAGTTGTCCCTGACTTCTTGGGTATGAGCCACCAGTTCTCGATTTTCCTGAACATTGTTTTCTCCGCCTATTAACTGCCAGAAGGAGAGCAGTCTTTGATCCGCTACTCGTTGTTGTTCCGGTTCCAACGACCATTTTACTCGTTGTGCATGACGTGTTTCGCTGTCGGAGCTGTCCCTATTTTTTCTGCTTCCTCGTATTTTTTTCTCGTGCGTTGGACTGTCTCTGTGATCTCCTCCTCTTCCGAGAGTTCGTTATTGGTGGAAAGTGATTGGTTCCACTTTGGGTCCATTATACTTTCTTCGCGCTCCTCATTCCGCCATTCTTGTGGTGAGTTCGACCACCAGTCGTATGCTCTGTTTTTATTTTCTGACATCTCGATCCTTGAGTCTGTTTTTTCTATTTTGCTCGTTTCTGGTCGTTTTTTGATTTTGGAATTATTTAAGACTGACTGTTTAGTGGGTTGATTTGACGAAAAAGTGATTTGTTTCTGTTGAACTGTTGTGTTTAGCTGTTTTTGCAGTCGTGGAAACTGTTTTCTCTCGTTCCGGTCGAGCCTTGTTCGGTTTTGACCGTTTTGGTTGCTATAGCAACCATTACTTGATGACTGTTTCGTAACATTCCTTCTAGAACATTCTAGAACGTTTTCGTTCCGGTTGAGCGACCTTGAGTCTTTAAGCCTACTGTTCCAGCAGTCGAACGCTTCATGAAAAGAGTTTATTGTCGCTACTACAAACTTTTCGTCTAATTCTGATTCGGGCCAGGGATCATTGAAAGGATCACGCGATAAATAATCAACTATGCCCATGTCCCTCCCCGGAATGTGAACTATGTTGAACTGATATGGCAGTAACCGGTCAACCCACCGGGTTAAACGTGATTGGTAGGTCTTGTTCGATTGATTAACATCCAATGCTGTTGTAAGCGCTTTGTGGTCAGTTGCGATGGTAAATGGTTTCCCCAGAAGGTAGTGTTTATATCTATCTACTGCCCAAACAACTGCCAATAATTCCAACTCATTTGTTGAATATTTTTTTCTTGGGAATTTAAGCATCGGGATGCGAACGAAATTGGGGCCCACAACCCTTCATCATTTTGTTGTTCTAAAGTAGCCCCTAGCCCATCATGGCTAGCATCGCATTTAACTCGTGTTTCACGATTTGCATCGTAATAATGCACTTTCGTAATATTTGCCACAGCTCCTTTTATAGCATTAAATGCTACTGTGTGAACATCCCCCCACTCGAATTTTTTCACCGGGAGTTTCATGTTTTTTAACTTTTTCTTTTGATTTTCTTCTTTAAGAAGTGGTCTTAATTTTTCGGTCAGACTGGCTACGTTAGGTATAAATTTAGCTAAGTGATTTATGCTTCCTAGAAATGACCTTAGTTGTTTTAGGGATTTCGGCTGGTTCAAGTTTACTACGGCTTCCGTTTTAGTGATTTTCGGTCTAACCCCTTCTTCTGAGAGATGGTGACCCAACCAATTCACTTCTTGTTTAAAAAATTCACATTTTGAGAGTTTCAGTGCCAAGTTTTCCGCATCCAATTTCTTTAGTACTGCTTCTACTAAGTTTGCATGTTCGATTTCACTTCCCTTTGACACAATAAGTATGTCATCCAGAAAACAGAACGTGTTTTTAGCGTGATTGATGGTTCTATCCATAGCCTTTTGAAATTCAGCTGGCATATCTGCTAGACCGTAGAACCCTGTCAAGAATCTGTAAGTTC